ACCATTCCGAATACTTATTTATAATTCTGAAAACATAGATAATAAGACGATGATTTGTGTTTCTGGATACATATAACACCATTCAGTGGTGCTGCCGCAATATTAAACGTGGGCAGTATTGGACAATATCACTTTTTTTACGGTATGGATAAGTTCCATATAACCCATTTAGCGCCGCCGTACTCTTTTGAGTACAGTTAAACATTGTATCTTCGGTTTAAAATTTCTGTATTTTATAAGATTTTTGTGGGTATTTTTCATTTTGAGGAAAACAACTTAATGAAATAATAATGTTTTATGAGGGTAGATCTTGAATTGTGTCATTATGACCATCGCAAATATTTAGAACAGAACGTCGTCGCAGGTAAGTGTACATTATTGTTATGTATATTACAATATTTGGACTAGAACATGTTTTCAATGAATATCTCAATTTAGTACTTACCATTGCATAAAGTCATATTTAGTATAAAAGTCAAATGTAAGTATTAGAGAAAATATGTTCTTGCAAATAATGCTGTACTCGTCCGAGTACAGCGGGAACTAATATGCGCAATTTTTTTTCTTTTAGTTTGCTAACAATGACTTCAAAAAGGTTTGAGGCTATTACCAACTATAAGGGATTAGAAGACGCCATTGAAGCCGTTTTAGATAAAAGCGATGATGAGGCTAAATATGATTTTGCAATTCTACCACCACCACCTAGTGTCGAGAAAAACTCGAGTCTAACCCAGCAGACCACAAAATCTTCTTTGACAACTTTTTTTCTAGTTACGATTTATTGATTGACTTGCGGAAACTCGGATGTTACGCTACTGGTACAGTGCGTGAAAATAGGACTAAGAAATGCCCTCTAAAGAGCACAAAGGAGATGAAGAAACAAAATCGAGCTGATTATGACTATAGATTCGATAAAACAAATTAATTATTATTCGTAAAATGGAAAGATAACAGCATTTGTACGATAGTCACCAATTATGACACGATTGAACCAATGGGTACAGTAAAAAGGTGGTGTCCTGTAAGACGCGAAAAAGTCGATGTTGGTATTCCGCATTTGTTCCAAAGTTACAATAAAGGAATGGGAGGAGTCCTAATGAGCTTGACCAATCTATATCGCTTTATAGGATTGCTATTCACTATTGCTATTATTCAAAGAAATGGTGGTGGGTCCTGTTTACTTACATGGTAGACATGAGCATATCTAATGCCTGGCGTTTATATATTGTCACTCACGATGACCATATGGACCAGCTATTGTTTAGGCGTAATCTAGCCCGATATTATTTACGGCAAACCAGTCAAACAAAAAGTCACCCTTCGTCATTTACAGTACGAGGTCTGGCGCAAGATGGCTTGGGACACCCTCAAACAATGGAAAAACAATTGCGCTGTGCAGTTTGTCACGCAAGAGTTCGCTGGCAATGTAAAATTTGCTTAAAAACTCTTTGTATAGAAAGAGAGTATTTTGAACATTATCACCGCTAAGTAGCCGCTGTACTCGAACAAGTACACCCCTCTAAAATCATCCAAATAATAAAAAAATGTCTTTTTGCTTTCTATTGTGCTTATTTGTGTTACTAATGATTAAAAAATAAATGTTAATGGTTAAGATACCGGTAGTTTTCTTTTGGCGCTTAATGGGTTAAAGGCTATTGACCGTTATGCGTATTCGATTTTGCCTATAACAACTTTATAGCACAATACAAGACGTAGTAAATGATTTAATTTATGTGAATATATTTAAATGACTTAGCATGCTTATTTTACGCGTGATTATATTTAGCAGAACCAATAAATAAACCATACCGGAACAACGCATCGGGAGTGCCACAGAAAGCGTATAGAGTCATCTTTTCTTTAACGTTACACTTGCCAAAGGCAACTTAATAATGTTCGCTGATGATACAATTTTATTATTTACTAACACCTGAAAAACTTGCACAAAGCTGGTCTTCACAAAATCACAAATTGATTTAAGGGGCAATGTAGTGGCAAAGTTGAGTCGGGTTAATCGATTGCCAGTAAACGAAAATAAGTGTCAGGTGATCACCTTTACGCGTAAACGATAACCTCTGCTTAGTAGATATAGTTTAAATGAAGCTCCTTTGGATAGAGTTAGCAGCATTCGTGAACTTGAACAATATTAGATGTCAGTCTGGATTTCCATACTCATGTGACTGAAATGTGCAAGAAAACGCAAACCCTTAGGTATCATTATGAGAACTGCTTCACAATTCCAGAACAATAGAGTGGCAAAAGTTTCGTATAATGCGTACGTTCGCAGTAAACTTGAGTACGGCGCTATCATTTGGGATCCTCACGAAAATAAATGTAACCTCATAGTGAAACGACTGCAACGTCAATTCGCTCGATGGTTGTACAAGAGAACTTATGGGTATTATCCGTTTCTCTGCCCCTCTTTGTTTGTAATAGCCAAGGTTGATTTGGAAACGCTAGAATTTAGGCGAAAATGTATACTCGTACACACTAAAATGGATAGTCCTGACATTCTGAGGAATTCAGTATTCAGGTGGCCACTCGCATCAGCTGGGACGAAGCTGGCATAGCGTCCAGGCACTGACAGCTCGCGCTGCGAAGATCATCGGCGACATGCTCGCAGATCGCTATGACATTGACCTATTTGCTGATTCCTTTGGACAACTTAGCTATAGAAGGGAACGTGTTTTTAAATTACTATAGTACTGTAGTATACGTACAGGATTTTTTTTTTTATTCATAATTTTTTTTATTTTATCTACACACATATCATGAATTCTCTTTAATGTGTTCAAAAACCACAAATTACGACCAGCGTAAAGGTAAACTGTTTTGTTAGAACAAATTTCTTATCTGTGACAATGTTATTATTGCTTCATAATAACATCGAATTCGATGTTATTATTACGTTAAAATTTCGAACATCTCTGAAAAACAAAACAATTTAATTGGACCTCAATTCTAATATCAGTCGAGATGAAGTTTTATTCGAAATGAATTGTCAATAGCAAACAATTTTGACAACTTCCCACATTGACTTACAAATAAATGGACGACGGGTCTAATACAAAAACCACGAAAAAAATGTCCCAAGTCAACCTATTTAAACGTAGTGACATGTAAAGGAATATGAAAAAGCTAAAACGTTGAATTTAAATTGTAATGTCATCGCAGTACTGTCTAATTTTGCTTGCCTCGCTGTCAGTCGAACAAACGAAGACTAAAGCGTGAATGACGCTCTGTATACGATTTTAGTGCCCTATAAGTTCGGACACTTTTTAGCGCGGACCCGACGTCCATATAATTGTAAGTCAATGACTTCCCACGTTATTTGATATCGAACGATATGATAGTTGGGGCCGATTTTAGTTTGTCTATGAATTAAAAATAAAAACTACGGTTGTGTGTTTTGCGTGACAAAAATGTTTATTTGCCGCCATTACGTCAGCCGTAACATGCGGTTCCTGAATACATCACAGAGAGCTTATAATATGTATGTAGATAAAGCAGTGTGCACATAATTAGGCATTAAAACACTCGTGAGATGTGTTTATGAAGTTCGCCTGTCGGCTCGTTTCATAAACCCTCACTCGTATTTTATATTTGCCTTTCATTATGTAACAGTCACATAAACTACTAAACTGGATTAAAGTTTTGACATTTTAATTTTATTTCATTGTATGTTAGTGTTGGTCTAAGCCTGTGGGTGTTTTGAATACGCTCCGCGAGCCCACTCGCACTATTGCATATAAATAAATAAATAAATGTATAAGATTCTACAACTAGATTCTGGTTCAAATTCAAAAATTGTCATTTAAGAGGTTTAAAATTATAGTGTAACAAAAACTTTACACTAAGTTACAGCTTCTACAAAAAAATCTATGGTAATGACCCATTTTGTACTCGTAGGTTGTCTTGATCTATCATATTGGAAATAAATATTGTAAATGATAAATGTGCATAAATCTTTATTTACAAGGAGCAAACCTAGAGTTTCAAACTTCTCCGGGCAATTTGCTTTACGAATGAGTAGTAGAGCAGAATCTATGTGTCGATTTCAAGTGTAATTTGCTTACCTATGAAATAACATGTTTATTTCAATCGTCTACTCGATACAAATCATAACAGTTTTGAAATACCGAACGCTATTAGAGAAAAAAAATCGGTGCGACCTTGTCATTAAGTTCAAATTTCTAGAATTAAAGAGAACCCATGCTCACGGTATTTCCTAATTGAAATTTACTACCTAAATATCTAGTACTTTTTCATGTTTCTAACGACAGGAATAAAGACCGTTTTGTTGTAACCGTAACTTATAGCATAGAATAGCTATTAAACAAGAGTTTCAATTAATATTAAATATTTTTAAGTCATAATTTAATTGTAAAATTAAAGCTTGTCAAAGAATAAATTTATCGACAGCGCTATAGTGTTGGTAAATTTTATAACACGATACAAAATATTTGTGTATCTCAATATTTTTTTTTAGTTAGTAATAATAGCTGTAATTTGGACATTGTACGCCTGTCCTGGGTAAGAATTGTAAATCATGATGATTGTTATATTTTTACCAGATCATACAATAAATTGTTTTTTATTTTTTAATTGCCTTTTTTATATATAACCAGGCCCAATTTTAAACCGGGTTTTATGGACGGTCAAAAAAGGTCCGCTGAGGAAGGGTAAAGGGAACCTTATATAAATAATAAAGTTGTGTGCACGTGTGCATACAAAGTTGAAAATAACTCGAATTGTAATGTATCACACGCTCAATGCGTCGGTCTATTTTCTGAACTTCAGCTGACATACCAGTGTATGTCTAAAATATATTTTATGTTGTAGTTTTCTTTATAGTGAGATAAATCATAAATATAGTTAATTTAAAAAAAAAATCAAAATTTAAACCAGTAAGCGAGTTAAAAATAATGGTTTTTTTAGAAATAAAAAAAGTCCCTTAAAATCTGCAATTGTACAAAAATAAGGCGATAAAACCTACCTACCTGTCTATCGGTGTCCCGACACTATCATACTCAGAAAACCAGCACTTCTCTCGAGGCGCACTAAAAACTCGTAACTCTATAAGTCGCGACACTCGTATTCAGAATACGAACTCGAGACGAGATCGTCCGCGGGACGACACGAGCTCGCGCCGCGGTAGCTTGCCCAGCACTAACGAATATCAACGCTGTACAGACAGCCACAGGGATGTGGAATTCAATGTAACAGTGCGTTTGAAATTTTGGTGGTTGTTGGGGAACCTAGAACTATTTCATAGTTACGTAATTTGTTTTTGCTGTTTAACTAATTTAACTTTTACGTATCTACTGTAATGTTTCGATACTACAGTAATGTATTTGTCGCTGTCGAATTATCACGCCTCTACCTGCTGACACTCTGCCACAGGAGAAACTTACTTGCCACTCTTTAAACTACTCATTTGAACGCTTTGTAAATTACATAAGGTGTAATTTTTAAGAAATAATTTTGATGTGATATGATTTTGATATCAGGACCAGTGTACTCGTACAAGGCACTGTACAGGGAGAAGCCATTTTTCATAATCATAATCATATCATTTATTGCTTTATGTGGTACAAAAGGTCTCAAATCTGTTATTACATTCCAACATAAGCCCTGTAAGGGCACTGCAATTAACTTACTTCACTATACTAATATTAAAACTAATAGGTACACATAAATTCATGTCAACTTCACTTACCTACTATACTGGACACATAATATCATGTACTTTTATTATCGAAATACTCTTTTAGGTCATAGAAACAGTTCGAGAGCAAGTAACTTTTCAGAGCGTTTGCGAACACGTAATTATTTTCAATGTTTCTTATTCTAAGAGATATTTTGTTATAGACTCTTATGGCCATATTGTGTGTACCCGAGCTAACAATTTTTAAATAAGCTTTTAGGTTTATAATGTCTTATAAACTTTGCACAATATGTGATTTCCTCATGGCGTGCATGTCGCGATAAGTTCCTAAGCTATTTTATATCTGCATGGTTTAACATAGCAATAAGGTAGGTTTATTTTAGTTGAAAAACATTACATATTTCTTTATGATATCAAGTGACGGGACGCACAAGTCGTGCGCCTGGTGTTGAGTGACACGCCTGTCCATAACAGTTGCAGTGCTATTTAGAGTTTTAAATCCTAAAAATCCGAGGGACACTATCACTGTGCCTGTCACTTTGAGACATAACTTGACAAGTCTCATGTGCCTCATTTCACCAGCACCCTTACCCTTTAAGACCGGAATGCAGCATCGCTCACTTTACTGTTTGACGGTAGAAATAGACAAGGTGGCAGTAGGTCCCTGGACGAACTCTTCCACAAGGAGCGCTACTGCTACTAAAATATATAACAATAAATAATAATTTATTTATTTTCCATATAAGGCCCATACGCGACGCAAATAGAAACATTTCCATATTATGACTGAAATTGTTATTTCAGATCCATAATCACAATATTGTAAGCATGACTTTATTAAGTTTGCAAATACGTAAAATTGTTTCTTGCGAATTATGTTTTATGTTGTTCGAAACCTCTCGCTGTACAGCTGTAGATACAGCAGCGTAGTTTACAATTTACACAGTATTTATTGTATATAATTATAACTTTATTCACCTAGACAACTATTATTGTTTGGAAAGAATGGGTAATTTGACAACAAATTTGACTTCAGAGGTGTAGAACAGTCATTTAGGCATTTTTCTATTGTAGGTGAAACAATGAATATTTCCAATTGTATTTCTTTCTCTATATATAGCAAAACTAAGTTGAAGTTAATTTTTTAAAAGTTATATTCGTTCTGGTTTATCTTGTTCAGACACTCATGCACATTGATGTATGTAAATTGTCAAATAACAAATTGCGCTTTGCGCCTTTCACACTGTCTGTGTTGGCTATATTGAAATGCGAGACTGATTATACTTTTGTATACAGGGCGATGCGCACGTGCGGGTTTGGAATGTTGATTAAAAATGTGATTAAAAATAATATTTGTAGGTAACCTAAAAATCCTTTTCATGATAACATTATTTGCGAATTTTATTCAACGGATTTTTATTGAAAATATGTATAAACAGGTGTTAAGTCATTAATAGATTCAGGCGTTACTTTGCGGTAGTCCATGTTAATAAAAATGGAAATAAATAAATAAATAAATTATTAATTTACTTCCATTTTTATTAACAGGTATTGTGGTTTTTCAAAATTTGTATCCTGCGTGTTTTCTATACATACGTGTTAGGTCAGAAATCGAGAAATGTTTACCAATACCGTTGAGTGTCACTGCTGGGCACAAGGCGTACAGAAGAGAGACAAAGTTAGTTTCTCAAATAAACTTATTAAATAATTTCAGTATATCACTTTACTTACTTACTTCGCGACCCGAAGTGGATCTAGGTCTCCGACACCAAAGTACGCCATTTCTGTAGGTCTTGAGCCAATTCCGACCATTCGGACACATTCAGTTCCCTTGGGTTTTTGCTGACTCCATCCTTCCAGCGATAGTTTGGTCGGCCCACTGTTGCCCCAAATACTTATTAAATTTAAATAAACTTTCTTACCACACGACCTAACCGGCGAAGTCGGGCAGATTTTATTTCCCCGATTACGTTCCGCTCAGACACTACTAACTTCTTCTATCTCTCTATTGAATCTGGTCTTCCAATTCCCAAATTCTCCTTTGATTGGTCCCAAAATCTTTCGAAATATCTTCCGTTCCGCCACTAATATTTGTGCTCTTTGTTTTGTTAGTGTACACCACTTTGCTCTTTAATTTTATTTGAGTTTTGGTACTTAAAATAAATATCAACATTTTATTACGATTGACAACTTCGGTTGAGATTGAGCACTCTAGGCACCGGTTCCGGTGTTTGTTTACGGTTCTGTACATCTACCTTAAAGTTCTTGATACTAATAATGCAGTGAACGCTCTATTTTGAGGGTAGGTTATGTACAATTGTGAATTATTTAATTATATAAATCTTCCTCCACCACATCACGTTGCAAATAAACGAACTAGTGTATATTGTAACCTTTTTATTTAAAACAAACGTTAATAATGATAGAAAAGGTGGGATGAACAACGTAGACAGACACAGTGTAATGTGTCAGCCAACATTCAGAAAGAAAGCTAAGGACTACCAACGTTCTATTTTCATATAGAATATATACCAAAAATTTTAAAATTTACAGTAACACTGACAACTAAAACTTAATGGATCGTGTATTGTCAGCTTGTCAAGTTCCTACAGATTTTGTGTTGTATTTTTTCTTATCGCGGTGAAAATCTGTGAAATCCCCAAATCGCTTTGGCCTAAACCATGTCCTTAAAGGAGACCCGTGTCCAGCAGTAGGACGATTGATAACGACGAAGCAAATTTTGATTTTTAGTTGTAAACTTGGCCTCTTTTCACATTTAAGATTTAGGTGGAATACGTATGTCAAAATAAACTATTTGCAATCGAATGTGGCAGTAACAAACATTTATTGAATCGAATCGTTTCATAATTAATGTGTTCGGCTGCGCTTAATGCAATAATAATGTTCATCAAACTCAATCCGACGCAAACACCGCAAATCGACGTCCCTCGGAGCGCGCGCGGCGGCGGCGGCTCGGTGGTGGGCAGTGTGAGTATTTGACGTCATGAATAGCAAGTGAATTCAACACGATTCACGTAACCAAATAACATGTCCATGATTACAAATATATTTTATCCGTGTGTTTTTGTTCAATATTGTTTGGCATTTTGTCGTGGACAGACTTTCGCTCGAGTAAAGTTTTCGAATTGTTAAAATTTACTTCGAACGTTACCGTCAATGGACCGCGTTACTAGGCAATAAACAACATTTTTTTTTTTTGAAAATATGAATAGCGTCGACTGAGATAACACAATAATAATATATTGTTTCAACAAGATGGCGGTACGTCCCGTAATGTGAGCGAAACTTAATCGTTTAGAGACACGATTTGATTTCAATATAAAACGTGTTATAACGATGTAGAGTTGCATTTGCTCGGAACGTAACATTTTACCAATGAAAGACATTCACCAGAATTCATTTTATCACGGAACATTTATGGAAATAACAAAGAAATTTTGTTCGAAATCAAAGAAAAAAAAGGAGTTGTTCGTGTCTTTTTAATGTTGTAACATGCTAAAAATACTGACACAAAAAATATTAGTGAGGTTTGAAGGGCCGGTTCAGATGACGTGCATTAGTGTACTAACGTGCTATAAATGCGCGCCGACAATTAGCAAAACGCGCGTTTACAACTACAAGCATTTTGTTCATAAATAGCCGGCCCCAAGAAGTGTACGGCGAGGTCTTTATCCGTGCGCGCAACCCTGTTTTTCTCTGGCGATAGCAACCCGAGGGCCAAGAGCCGCGATGCTCCTAGCGAATTCGCTTTTTATTACAAGCGACAATTAGAAATACATGGATTTTATTTATAAAAAGCCACAAAGTAGCGATGCAATTTGCAGCGAAATGCGCTACGAACGATGATCTGATGCGCGTTTTTTTGGGCGGCCAGAACAATTGTACAAGAAAGTTCCATAGTGTGCACGAAACAGCCGCTCCATGTACCTCGATAGAGGCGGTCGCTCCACGCGTCTGCGTTCGACATAAATTAGTTTGTTTTTATTGTTTGGATATTAAAGAATTCGTAACTGCAATACAAAATCGGCCAACAAATTCACTACATTGTATTCTTGCTCTACTTAAACAGTCTATTCCTTGTTCAAAACAATATTTAGACATTTTTATTGCTACCACCACCGCAGATGCGATATAAGCGAATTACCAAACTACGTGGGTGTATTTTACCGCTTATAAATTGACGCTTTCAACGACCTGACGCTTCGAACGAGAGTGGCGATATTTTTCTAATGGCGACCGGTGGGCGGTAATTTCTTATTTAACTCAATATATTTTATTGCGTGAATTAATTATCTTGTATAATGATAACGAACAAGAATGTTGAGTAATTTTCGGTAATACGATTTATCCGTTAGTTTAGTTAATATGT